TATAAATATATATATATGTTTTTATTTTTTATTTTTATTTTATTTCATGTTGTTTTATACAGTCAATCATGTTATTTAGTTTGCAAAGTGAATATTCCAACATGTATGCATTTCTTCCCAGTCCAATTGATAATATTATAAAGTGATCAATTTCTTCTTCAGCCAGGATGGACGTTGCTGTTGACATACAGTAACTGCCATGGCTTCCAGTGCTTTGGCGAAACCTCAGATGCGTGGCCTTCTGGCCAAGCATCTGCAATTTCATGTTGTTGGAGCATTAATTGTATCCCTGAGTGTTGCAACTTTCTATAAGCTTGCTGTGGCTGAACCAAGAAAGAAGGCATATGCAGATTTCTACAGAAATTATGATGCCATGAAAGATTTTGAAGAGATGAGGAAGGCTGGTATCTTTCAGAGTACAAAGTGATTTTGGAATGTAAAGAATATCATTGGATTGGTGCCATGTTCCTGAACTATGAAACATGAATACATGGGCTAAAGAATAGTTTCTCTTGATGAATAAATCCTGTGGACAGTAAAAAGAAAAAAAATACTATAAAGTTATCTTCAACAGATTATACTCAACTTATTTTTCCCATTAATGCTTTGCCTCTCTATTGACCTTTCTGTCAATGTTGCTGATATTCTTGATTGTGAAGAGATATTGTATCTTATCAAATGCTTTTTCTGCATCAGTTGATATGATCATATGGTTTTTGTCTTTCTTTCTGTTAATATGGTGTATTGCATTTATGGTTTTGCATATGTTGAACCGACCTTGCATTCCTGGAATAAAGCCTACCTGATTGTTTGTTATGGGGCATGTGTACTCACCAGAGAAACACAGACAGAGAAAGAAATGGAGAAATGATCTCTAAAAATGAGATTGCCACACTGCAATCCCTTCTCCTTCATTCTCCACTCAGGACTTTTGGTATGCAGTCACATGCAACCGGTGTGATTCCAAGCCTCTCACCACAACTCTTACCAGGGTCAGCCATGTGGGAGTCCAGCACCTTAACCACCATGCAATCTGCTGGCCTCCAAAGAAATATATTTTTAATGTTTCAATTTGATATTATGCTGCTGTTACATTTAATTTTATGTTTATAAAGCAATTGGTCAGAACAGTAGATGAGATAATGGTTATATCCCTGGTCTCCCACGTAGCCAACCATTGTTCGAGTCCCAGACTGATGGCTTGAAACTCATGCTGGATGCATGTGCCTGCACGCCCAAAATCCCCAGAAGAGAATGGAAGAGAAGGAACTGTGGTGTGATCATCCCCTCCCCCCCAGGGGTGATTTCCTACTTTCTGTCTCTCTCTCTCTCTCTCTCTCTCTCTCTCTCTCTCTCTCTCTCTCTCTTTCTCTCTCTCTCTCTCTCTGTCTGTCTCTCTGGTAAGCACATGAGCCTTATAGCAAAAGCCCCTATCTTAAAATAAATAAATAAATAAATAGTCATTCTGTATATAATTGAATTAAACAAGAACACAGAGGTGCTTTGTACTACTGAGCTGAAGCAACTAATACATATGACATAGTGATCATAGACTGCTTTGAAGATTAGCACTGTCATCCTGTACTTCTCCAGTATGATGTATTCACTAAAAAAGACTCAAGTTTGGAGGCAGTTTTTCTTTCCAGAGGACAATACGTGATCTTTACTTTATGGGAAAAGATCAATAGTCTTAGCTGGGTGTGAAGTGATATTTCAAAGCTTGCACAAGTCAAGAACTCTGAATTTAAAGTGTGTTAGAGATCTGCAATGTGGCAAAGATTAGAGCTAATTATCAATATGCAGGCATTACTCAAAGAAAAGTTTGTTTTGTGATAAGTCAAATTTAAACATGGTTTCTAGTACCATGTTTAGTTTAATAATGGTAATGTGTGACTTATTTTAGTACTGCCAGAAACATGCTTAAAGTTATTCTTATCAAATTCTTAATTGAAATTACTTTCCTTATGATTTTTATTTTGATCTTTGGCCATCTTTTTCCTAATATGACTCTATAAATAATGAAAAAAGAGTAAAATATGAACTGTAATTTAACATATCTTAAATTGTAAACTTCAAGATGTTGTTGATTTACAAAGAGAGGTACAGCTGTCATGAAAATCCTATCATAAAGAACCTGGGCTAAGAATATTTTCTGGGGAAAGGCTGCTGGTGTGGTTAAGGCACTGGATTTCCACGTGACCGACTGCGGTTTCATTTCTGGATCTGCAGCTTGCTCACTCTCTCTCTCTCTCTCATGAGTGCACATGCCCTATGACAAATTAAATAATAATAATAGTAACAATAATAATAAATAAAATTAAATAAATAATTCTTTTAAAATATTTTCTGTACTTAAAAGAAAGGCTTTCTTTGACTTCTAGGACAAGAAAAAGTGTTTTTCCATTATACTTCACATAACAAATGCAAATTACATAGCTGAACAATAGCCTGGAAAAAAAAAACCTATATAGAAAGAAAATATAGACAATTGAGTTTTTCATTTTCTAACGATAGGTTTATACTACTCATAGAATTAACACTCATTTTCATCTGCCAGTTCTAACTTTCAGTCTTCATTATATGAGAAAAAGGGTTTAAAAATTAATGATTTCTAATGTATTGTTTTACTATAAAGGCGTTTTTTATATTTATAATTCTCTTTAAGTTAGCTACTAAGCATACTTTTCTCACTCATTTTCAATTCTACCTCATATTAAGTTTGCTGCCCCTTAATAGCTTTGAAAATTACTTTAAAAGTATTTCTTTTCTTTTGCTTTTTATTTCAATTTCCTTTATACACTCAATCACATATGTCACTTTTACCTATAACTTCATGGTGAGCAGTGAGAAGGTTTTACACAACCAGCTAAGGAAGAAGAAAGAAGAAGAAGAAGAAAAACTCAGCCTTAGTTCATATATAAGTCCTTTGAAAATATATTTGTAGAAAGATAAAAATGACTAATGCTACAATGTAGACACTCTCAGAGGTGGCATACAATGTAGTGAGTGGTAGAAAAAATCTTTACAGACTAATTAAGTGGAAGCAGTATATTTTCTTGTCCTCATGCTGTGGTGAGAGAATTGGCCTATTATGCAAGAGAAGTTTGAAAGTTCTTAGAAAGTGGAACCAAAGTATGAGTTTCTTTTGGTGAGTACAAATTTCAAAATCTATTCACAGTTTTTTCATAGGATGATGCTTCCATAATTTTTTTAAAGACAAGCCAGAGAGATTATAACAAAAAGTTTCACAAATGAACTAGAAGACAAAGGGACAAGACAGAAAAATTATAGTCAAATAACTTTGAGGAAGAAGCATATAGGTGGACCCGTATGAATAAGCACAACTGTGCATATCTTTGTTTTTCAGACATGCGTTCATCAGAAAACATACTCTACAGAGAAAGAACTCAACAGACAGGGAGAAAGAATGATTCACCTAGGGTAGTCAGACAATTCTGACCTCACAATCTCAGGGCTTACACAAAATGCCCACGAAGAAAGTGGTAAAAATTGAAGCTATACTTCCATGTATTAGTCCATTAGTATATTGCTAAATGGGAATATCTATAAAAATTGAAGCTATACTTCCATGTATTAGTTCATTAGTATATTGCTAAATGGGAATATCTGAGACTACATGATTTATGAATAAAAAAAGGTTTACAATTCTCACAGTTGAAGATGCTCATTAGTGAAAAAGTGTCAGCACCAGGCTGGCCACCAGTGGTACATCACAACATGGCCAACAGATGAAGAGAGAAAGACATCACTACTAAGAGAGAGAAAACAGAATTTCTCACTTCCTTTGGTTGTCCCTTTCATAACCCCAGCCAGTTGAATGGTGCCCTCCCATTAAGCTCTTTGTCCCTTTCATAACCCCAGCCAGTTGAATGATGCCCTCCCATTAAGCTCCACCTCTTAAAGATCACACCACCCCAAAATCTAGGGAATCAATGTTCTGGAGTATAAACCCTTCAGGAAATAACTATTATCCAAACCATGACAAATTACTCTTGGTCCCAAAGGTTGATGCCTTTCTCATATACAAAATACAACCATCCCATTCCACTGGTCCCAAAACAATTTATTTCAACTCTGACACTAAAGTCCAAGCCAAGGCAATCTGAGATGCAAGGCAAATTCCTACCAGATGTGAGACTGCAAATTCAACAACATGTTAGCAACTTCCCAAATATAATGATTAGACAAGCACAAGATATAAATTCTCATGATAAAGAAATAAAAGGACCCAAACATGTATGAAACCCAAGAGTGCAGACACTATATCATAAACCTTGAGAATAATCTCCTTTGACAACAAATTATGTGCATTCCAAAGGAGGTTGGTCCTCTATGGTCCTGGGAAGCCCTATCCAATGATTTCTCTTGTTGCAGCCCATGTGGCTGCTCATACTTAGAGTCTGGTACCTGTAGTTTTCCTAAGTAGATATTGCACACTGCCAGTGACTCTACAGTCCTGAGGTCTCAAGAGCAATCACTGCTCCCCCGCCCAACATCTCTAATAAGTTTGACCCTGGGGACTAATCTCTCATGGATCCCACATCTGTGTTTGGCACTGCCGTATTGGAAGCTCTTTCCTGTAGCTCCACACCTGCAGCTGGTGTCTGCCTGAGCTCAGAAACTATTCCATACATCCTTTTAAATTTAGGTGGAGACTGCCACACACTAACAGCTCTTACACTCTACACACTTGCAGAATTAATGCCATGTTTATTCCCCCATGAGTACAAATGATATTTCTGCCACTATCAAGGCCTGTGCTCTTTGAATATCAGATTGAGCTACACCTATGCCTGCTTGAGTCACAGCTATAGCATCTTGGCATGTACTGTGATGTGCAGTGGGCCAGATGTACAGGGAAGCATGTCAGTTCTGGGTCCTTTGATGGAAATCATTGTGTTCTTTTAGGCCTTCCTACACATGATGGTAGGAATAGCCCTGTAGATATATGACATGTTTTCAGGAGCCTTATCTTACTGTCTTTCTAAGTCTATTAGTGGAAATTTGCTTCACAACTGTTACCTCAGCCACACTCAGAATGCTATGACAAACATGTTCTTTTGGTTTGTTTTTTATTTGCCAGACTGTGCTTGTTCTTGTTGGAGAGAGGCAGAGAGAGAGAGAGTGCTGGCATCTCCCAATGAGTGTGATCATACCATAATCTCTTATCCTGTATTACAAAGTCTGACTCTTGACCCCAATCTGCCATCCCATTCCACACTTCATTTTTACCAAATTTAATAAAATGTATAGTTCACTTATTCACTTACTGATTCTATTTTTCTGTTGCTCTCCCACCACCACAACTCTAAATTGAACTGTTCTGTTTTTCTATATTGCTAGCCCCACTCTCTGTTAAATACTGCATAAATGTATCTTGAGTAATTCTATAGAAGTTTTAGTACTTAAAATGCCATTGTACTAATGACTATCATAAAACTGCAACTGAAATGTTTCTGAATAACAAGTTCAGAACTAATATTGATGAACAAAGAAATTTTTTAATAGAAACAGGGAATCTAATGGTAGAGCATCCTATTGTATTGAATATTGAATAGGTATTACAAAAAGCTCTTTTGCTATTTAATTATTCCCTGGGAACCTTTTGCAGTGCCTGGTTTCTTAAAGCAGAAGAGAATGTTAGAAACTACTTCTACAAGCATGTTGCTTCTCAAGAAAGGGATTTGGGAATTCATTGTAAATAAATATAATTTTTTAACTAGCTCATTTGTTGAGAAAAATAACTTTTAAAATGTCTAGGGGGAGATTCTCAAATCTCAAAGGCCATAGTGTAAAGAAGATAAAAACAATACCTTCATCTGGGTTTTTATCTTGACCTTAAACATATGCTTTAAAGTAGGAGGGAAATCTCTCAAATTTATTCTGCAACTCAATGGCAGCTTACAGACTGGACTGTCCAATTTTTCAGAAGTTCTTCCAATACTTTTCACTCTGCATGGTAATATTTCATTTTCTTTCTTTTTCCTTTCCTCTCAGCACATATATAAGGAGTAAGTCAGCAGGTGTTGTGGTGATTAAGGCACTGGACTCTCATATGGCTGACCATGGTTTGAGTACAGGACTTGGCAGTTTGCTTTCTCCCTATCTATGGTCTTTGCATGCATGTTCCCCATAGGAAACTTTAAAAATAATTTAAAAAAATAAAAAAATCTTTTCATACTGTATTGCATCAAGTGCCACCTGTTCTGCATAAGTGGGTTGACTGTCAATTGCTTTTTTTTCTCCCTGACAGTATAAATATTTGACTTAGAAGTATTTAATGAAAATAGAGAGAAACAAAATTAACTAAATTAGAAAGAACAGCTTTGGGCATGCAGCTAATGGCATGGTGGTTACATTGCTGGACTCCTACATGGCTGACCAAAGTGTGCATTCATGCCCAAGAAGGAGAATAAAGGAAAAGGGATTGCATCTCCATTCAGGGATGATTTCCCACTTTCCCTCTCACTATCTGTGTATCTCTCTCTTTTGGTCCAACAAGTATATAAAAAAACCTCTACTAAATATATATATAAAGAAAGAGCTGCTGGGAAATACTAATTTTATTCTTATTTCCTTAAGTTTGGGGAAATTATTCATTCAGTTCCTTTATTACTATTTTAAAGAATTATTTTATTTTATTTTATTTTATTTTATTTGACCAGAGAGGGACAGAGTGAGAGAGAAGGAGGAAAAGTGAAAAAACAAGCAGCCAGATCTGGGACTGAAACTGTGTTCGGCCATGTGGGAGTCCAGCGCACTTTACCACCATGCCACCTACTGGCCCCTCCCTTATAATTTTTAAGATATTAATAAATATTAAAAATAAAAAAGCGTAGGTATTTTAGATAAAATATATAACTAATATATAATTTATGTTTGTGAAGACAGACTTCTTATCATTATCAAAAGGAATACTATTGCCTGTTCAATTGAGAAAACAGAAAATCTGTGTCCATTCTGATATCTCACCAACCCATGCGTTGCTGTCAGATTCCAGAGTTTCATATGCCTTGATTTCATGTGAAAGATCATTTCTTTAAATGACAAAACCATATGTGTGTTCTTCTTTGTTGCATTTTTAGAATTTTCCTTATACTGAAATTTGGGCAGTTAGTATCTCCAGGAAATATTGTAAAAGAAGATTCAAGCAGAGTGAGTATTGTTTTTTATTTGATATAATACTGTTATAGTCCCACTGTCAGTAAAAATACTAATTAAGTTAGCTAAGAATAGGCTCTTATAAAATTAGGACACTAGTAAGAGTGTAAAGGACAAAAATAAAATGAGTTTTTAAAAATTCAGTCATGAGTTACAAAGAAATTGAATAACCACTAAGTGACAACTAAGTGAATGTTTTATTCAATAAAAAATTTACAGGAGAATAATCTGAGGATATTACAAAGGTAAAGATATTTCTGAAACTTATTAGTATCAACTGCACCTTATGTTGACATTAATATTTTTCTGCCTTTTAGATTAATACAAATACATTTCAAAACTTTTTTAAAAAGAGGTATTTGCCTTAGGGTATATGTGCTTGTGCGAGAGAGAGAGCGAGACAGAGACAGTGAGAACGAAAGTGAGAAATCATCCTCCAGGGGGGAATGGCCATGCCACAACCCCTTCTCCTCTATTCTCCTCCCAAGATCTTGGACACACACAGCATAATTTCCAAGTCAACAGGTCGAGGATTCCAAGTCAACAGGTCGAGGATTCCAACTGCAGTCAGCCAAATGGGAGTTCAGGGACACTACTGCAGTGCCATCTGCTGGCTCTATTCCTCTTATGCATATTTTATACTCAATAAATGTACATAAATACAACTTAAATATTTTCAACACACTGATTTGTATGTAGTATATGTAGTATATGATAAACACATGAGAAAATAACAGAATTTCCAAAATTACAGTTTGCACTCCTTATGAATAGCCCAGTATCTGCCTGTGTTTAAGGTTAACCATAAATTATGTTATATTATTTTTATCTTACTGAAATGAAATCGAGAATAGGTTATGAAGATCACAGTCTTACTGCTTTACACAAAATATGTATTCTTTTATCAAAACAAGGATAAAGATACATAGTGTTTCCAGGAAAAAATAATTCATCTCTGAACTAAAATAACCAGTGTCATCTCCATGTCTTCCAGACTAATGAATGTATCTAGTGGAGAAAACACCAACCCGGTCAGCCACTTCATCCTCCTGGGCTTTCCCTCCACCCCAGAAAAGCAGCTCCTCTACTTCGGGCTCTTCTCAGTGACCTACACACTAACCCTGATGGGGAACGCAGCCATCGCCTGTGCTGTGCGCTGGGACCGGCGCCTTCACACGCCCATGTACATCCTCTTGGGGAATTTCTCTCTGCTGGAAATCTGTTATGTCACCACCACCGTCCCTAACATGTTGGCAAACTTCCTCTCCACAAGCAAGTCCATCTCCTTTGTGAGCTGTTTTGCACAGTTCTACTTCTTCTTCTCCCTTGGCTGTGATGAGGGCTTCTTTCTTTGCATCATGGCCTTTGACAGGTACCTTGCCATCTGTCGCCCTCTGCATTATCCACGCATCATGACCAGGCAGCTGTGCACCGGCCTCGTCATCTTTGGATGGTCGTGTGGGTTCATCATCTTCCTAACTCCAGTAGTTCTCATTTCACAGTTGTCCTACTGTGGCCCAAATGTCATCAACCACTTTATGTGTGACCCTGTCCCACTGATGATGCTGTCCTGTTCTGAAGACACCACCACCCAGCTCATTTATTCCTCTCTCAATTCTTTCTTCATGATAAGCACCTTTGTCTTTATTCTCTGTTCCTACGCTCTGGTGCTTCTGGCTGTGGTGAGGATGCCCTCAGAGTCTGGCAAACAAAAGGCTTTCTCCACTTGTGCTTCCCATCTAGCTGTGGTAATCCTATTTTTTGGCTCTGTTATGGTTATGTATGTT